AAGTAATTGGTTGCAACCCGCGATGCACAGTTTTTTAAGAAATGGAAGACTTAAAGATGAACATGTTAACTCTGGGCATCCCTTTATCACAAGATTAATGAGAGAAGAAAGGTGGCTGGGTAATTTGCCCGTCAGCTTAGGACAGTTTGCAATCTCAAGGTCCTTCAAACACGAGAATTCTACTCCAGTGTCAGTCAGAAAAGCCCATTTCTCCCAGTTTAACATGTTGTGAAACTTAAGCATCTGCAAAGATGTAAAAGCGCCACGCCCACCATGCCCATAAAACTCAGACTCAATAGTTTCAATTGCATTCATGTCTTCAATAATCAACTCTGCAAGTACAGGTAATTGCCCAACTGATGGCAACAAAGTGCTATTTCTACAACCAAATAACCTCAAATAGGACAAATTGCAAAAACATTGATCACCAATCCAGGACGGAAATTGCTTACCACCATAGCAACCAATCGTCAACTTCTTCAAATTTTGATGAGGTCTTAAGGAGCTGAGCACTTCCTCTGCAATATCACTTCCCTTTCTTGAATCATCAAAATCAGAAGTCCATTCTAGCACCAACTCATCTAGAGCTTCAAGCATGTGTAAATTGGATTGTCTGGCATCTAAATTATCAGAAACATTTTGTAGATCTAGAATAGATAGATACCGTCGAAGATGTAACAAGTTCTTCACATCACTTAATCTCAGTCCTTCTGTTTTCCCTACTATGAATTTGGGCAATATCAAAAGATTTTTGAGATTAGCTATTTCCTGTGGCATAGCTTTTAAAGACTGGGTATTAGTAATATCAAGATATTGAAGGTCATTCAAGTTCCCAATTGTTGCAGGAAATTTGGAGAACTGATAACAATTCTGTAACAACAATGTCTGTAATGACAGAAGGAAACCTATGGATTCAGGTAAGGTTTCTATGGCAGTTTCAGACAAATTAAGGTATCGCAAACACTTCAAATCTCCAATTGAATCCGGAAGCTTTCTTATCTTATAACTTTGAAGAGACAATGCCCTCAAGCATGTTAACTTCACTAACCAATCATATATCACAGTATTTGATAGAAAATGGCTGATATAAAATGAATTAATGGGAATGAATGCTCTCAGACCCTTCATTTTGTTCAAAACTTCAAATCTCTGAGAGATATCAAACTGTTTACGATGAAATGAAAAATGGCGAACCTTTTCAAAATTTACTTCTTTCTTTGCTTCCAATATATTTTCAAGATTGCAACATGTTTCTCCAGCGATGAGTTGAGCTAAATCATGTATGAGGTCATGCATTACATACATCGATTCATTATTGCTTGACTGTTGAAAGAATGATCTAGAAAGTAGCTCAGAGAAATACTGACGACCAATGTCTTCAATTTGATTTTCTTCTCCTGCATGTTTTTGCAAGAGCCCCTCTGCCATCCACAAGAAAATTAACTCCTCTTTGTTGAATTGGTGATCCTTCGGAAACATTGCACAATAGGAAAAGCATTGCTTCAAATGAGAAGGAAGATGATGGTAACTCAACATCAAAGCTGGAAGAATGCCGCTTTTGTCTCCCCGTAGATTCCACATCTTACTTTTTAATATGTATTTCCATTCACGAGGGTCTCGCTTACCACGTAAGAGGCCCCCAAGAATTTTTGCAGCCAAAGGCAATCCTTTGCACATTTCAACCATTTCCTGACCAACATCTTTC